TTTATTTATTAAAGATAGCCTCAATAATGAATCTTAGGTGCTTTCTGCTTCTTTGCGTAGAGCTTAATTCGAATAAATCATGATTGCATGCCTATTAAATTACACTTTGCTAGTATGGTCATGAGAGTGATGAAAGCCATTTGCTTTTGAATCTACAAAACAGCTTCACATCAGTCCTTTCAAACGTCGGCAAGGCAGGATTTTGACAAATACAGTCGAAGTCAAGTGACGCCCTTTCAGAGACCCTTTCGTTGTCTTCACAACGGAGGCGGTGGCACCTACTCTCCACCGTCGTTGCGAATGAGCCAGCCCGATCGCGTAGCCCCATTCAATCTGGCCTCTCGGTCGCCAGACCAGTCGCACGATGATCCTGCCTTGACCAGTCGGTTGCTAGGCGATGTCCAAATCACCAGCCGGCCAACTTGCGCATTCCACCATCATCGAGACGGAGTCCTCTTCTCCAGACGCATCAGTTCAGACTCGAGCTCTTCCAACTCGCACTTTTCCGTCGGCACAACCACCGCGGCCGACTTGGGCGCCATCATCGGCGCCAACAGCCTCTTCTGTCAGCCCAGCTCGACGACAGCCGCCCTCGACCTACATCTTTACTCAGGCCGCCCACTGGTCTCACGCAAACAATAGACATGGTACTCCGACAGCCGGTCTCGAGGTCAAGACCCTAAGTGGCCAGGCGTCATGGAGACTAGCACTCAATCGATTACCCTCAGTCACGGTAACAACTGCTTCAACAGTGGGCAAATAGCGTCTCAGGCCTTCAAGTTAGTCTCTGCTACCCTGACTACACACGACGGGCATTCAGAGAAGCGTCCATACACGCATACACAAAAGTTCTTTTTAGACTGTTTCGTATTTTATTTCGAGATAAGGTCCTTTCTTGGTAGCGTAATTCGGGCTTTTTTTAGAACATTATGTCCTGACGAGAGGAAGGCCTCTTTTCGACCCTTTCAATTCTGACCAACTCTCTTTGACTAACATTTCAAGGGCCTTTTATTTTCCAAATACCTGTTCACTGCACTTATTTGAAATTTAGTTTCGACAAATTATTCGCTCCTCAAATCAGGTGGTCAAAGAGGGCAAGATGAATTTAATGTATGAGTTAACAGCCACAACTTTTGTTGAGCTATCTTTATCCTTTGCAATGTTAGTTATTTCCGCTACGGCTTTACCTAATCAATTTTCTATGCATTATATAAACATATTATGCGATGGCACAATTTACCCAATGGAATGTCTGACCTTAATATTTGCAATGACATATATGCAATATAACAGCATTTAATGTAAGCAAGTGCAAAACATTACGATTTGCCTTTATTATTTTTTTTGTATTGCCTTCCTTTCATCTGCTCCAACTGGTCTTTTTTCTTCGAAATCACTGTACACATATTTCATCAGTTTACAATCACTTTTTCTTCATAGAATTTAGCCTGTAGTATTCATTCCTATCACTAATTGTGTCTATTTTTAGGCAATAAATATAATCTATTTCACTCAGCAAAGGAGTAGCTAAGTTTACACGAACATTTAACTTATCTGTTACCACTTTATCCCGACTGTTGGTGCACTTAATTACTACAATCTGTAATCATCATAGCTTTTGTGGTCCTAGAAGCAAGAATAATCAAGATGCTGTGATTAGCAGATTGAGACTATCTTGCACTCGTGGATAAACCTTTAATACATTTTTTGAATGTTTGATTTTTTTAACCTTTTGTGCCAACCTCAACTTGCACGTATACTACTGAGAGACAAATAGTTAGATTATCACATTTCTTTGAACGTTGTTTTTTTTCTCTTTGAGAAGTCACTTACTGCTGCCAATCAAGAAGTTTTGATCGTTTATTGCTAAAAAATATTCAATAAATGCACTTTTTATCGTTTTATTACTTCTTCAGCGTCGCTCTTTCATTAGTTTCCGTTTTCACCTACCAATGTTGTACTTGAGAATAAGTAGTGTTGGCAAGAATGGCCGCATACAATAAAGACGAGCAGAGCAGCAAAGGACTAGACTGACAAAAATACGAATAATAAGAATAGAAACAGAGATAAAAAGAGATTTTCGGACTGTTCGCATGATACTTTTAAGGCATTTCAGCGACCCTAACCACGAGGAATGGAGAAGGAGACTTGATTTTTGTGTTGTACTTCTCTGCGTTATGCATACATAATTCAGTCCGGTTTGATATTGCCTTGATCGTATCAGCACCTCCAGAAAGCTGAATATACCACTTTCGACCGCTTGACAATGACCTGTCCATTCTTGCTCACCAACATGTTTTTGCAATAGCTTTTATTTCGTTTGAAGAGGCGAGTAGAAAGGATTCGTAAGTTGGAAGTCGAAGAGGGGTGGTGACTAGATTTGTGCGACTAAGTTATCGACGCACCGTCCAGTAACCTCAATGATTCTCTGCTGTGCTTTCGTCCGTTGTGTGACGGACATCGTCAGATCAGGCGGCTGCAAGTCTACCTATTTCGTATAACCTAACTTTATCCACTTAATGAGACGTCCTGTGATTTGGTTGGATATTCTATGGTGATCGAACAGCTGCGTTTTCCCATCTAAAACACTGATACTTTTGGTTCTGAAATGTCTCACTATATGATTACCTTCTATTGGATTTGCCTCATGTGCATGCAATGCTCGTGAGACGTGTGTGGTTTGAGAGTGAACACCATATTTGAGGCTAATTAATTCTCTTTTTGCTCGGCGGTACTTCTTGTTCCCTCTCTCTCTCTCTCCCTTTGGTTCTATTCAAGAGTCACTAGTAGTCTCTACTTAATTGCCTACACTCATTTCTTCTATTCAGGATGTTGGCTGTTTTGTTGACTTCTAGACATTCCCAGATTCCCATATTCAGCTAAACCTTTGGCTTTAGGCCAGTCTAGCTGTTGTTCTGTGTGGACTGCGTTCAAACTGTTCTGACTTTTGGATCCACCACCCTTTTACGTTCGGCTAACCTCCTCCACATAGACGCTATCACATGATCGCATAGCATTATAGAAGCCTGATTTCAAGATAAGGTCAGAAACTTCCCGAAAAGATGGCATTACTGAGGAAAGTGTCATTTTGTCCTTTTGCACGATGCCCAACTTTTTCACTAATTCGCCTATACTTTTCCAGAGCATGTACGACGGAAAAATCAAGATCCTTGTAGAATGGTCCAGCTGCCTATCCTGCCCCAGATAGACGCATCTCTCAATCCTATTTATTAATAACTAGTCCTAATGGATAACCGTTCTCAACTCTAATTTTCCTCACCATTCCATTTCCTAATGACGCTGTTTAAAATCTGCAAGTCACAGTATTTGATAATCTATACTTTAATCCTGTAAGTATGGTTAGAAAGAAACTTAAAATAAACCCCGCATTTTTGGGCTATCCTACAAACATTTCTACCCAGCTCATTTCCTTCTGCCAACTAGGGCATCTAAAAACGGTAGACTACCATCCTTTTTTAATTTTATAACTGGGATTTCTAGTCACTTCTCTTCACCAACGTGAGTAAATCTTCCAGGCCTTATTTGTCGTGTTGCCAAACGGCAAACAAATGTTCAATGCACATGGCCAATAACTAGGAACTAAAAGTGATTCTTGAATTAGGCGACTTTCTAATTGAGCCGTGTAGTGATTTGTTAAATTGGGAACAAACACAATCCCACAGTTAAGCTTCTTGTTTATTCGCACATTTTACCATTGAAAGTAAGTTAGGTATAGCTCATTGCTAAATTCGTCAACATCATAATCAACTTCTTATCTAAATTCGTACTTGTCAAAATATTTGGGTCTAGGGAGGTAAACATCGAATCTACACCAAACTTCTTTTTTTGTGCTCGATGAATTATCCTAAACCATCATGTCCTGCTCTGAAGATGTCCGTCCTACGACGGAAAAAGGCTCAAAACGGATGTATCGGGGTTGCGCGACGGTAAACTGGGGACTTATTCGCACAAATCTAGTCACAGCACCAAGACAACCCCTCTTCGACTTCCAGTAAAACCAACTTACGAGTCCCTTCCACTTGCCTCCTCAAACGAAATGAAAGGTACTCCAACCTTATTCTATTAAGAGATTCTTACAATGATAGTTTTTCTACACACAATCATGCTGCCTCAATTTTTCCAATTGAGTATATGTCATTTTTTCCTTGCATCAAATTAAGTCCATAGTTCAATTCTCAGAACCGTCTTATTTTGGATATTATGGAATGTAGGATACATCATTGGAGGGTGATATAATCTGATTTTGTGCGTTCTTTTATTCCTTTATCTAGCTCTAAGGCCTCAAGGCTGGTGAAGAGAAGATAAAGTTACTCAAAAAGCATTAATTTACACCATTAAATTTGCTTCTTGGCTAAAACTCTTTGCATACTAATCAAAGCAATCCGTTGTTAGACTAATTTTTATTTTTCCTAATAGGAACTAATATTCCTAAGATTAACTTGGAAAAAGAAGATCGAGGAGTATGGGTGGATAATATATTTTGGTTCTTTTAATCAAATTACCTCGACCATTGTATGTTCACACTCTTAAGTACAGACGGGAGAAAAACGGCTAAGAATAGGAAGCTAGTTTGCCTCTTTAAACATTTGAAAAAGAAAGCTGTAAATTTTACTGCTGCATTAGAGGGCTTTCCTTTACTTTTGTTATAACTCGCATCTTCTTGCTCGAGCAAACATGCTTTATGCTGGCCAATGCCTTAGTTGACTTAATAAGGTTGGTATGACCATTTAGTTGTTCGTGGGTGATTATTCACAGGTTCAGTCCAAATCGAGTTTATGCATCTTTTATACACTTGGATTAGGTTTCCAAAGTTGTGGAGGCTTTCATTTCGTAGGAAAGTGCAAGATGGGAAGCTTCGCAGGTCTTTCTCCCCACAGGACGACGGCTGATTTACATTTTACTGCAGTAGTTTAGCTTTATTATTTTGTTCAGGTTGACGCAGTCTACGAGACATTCCTATCTGAAAATGCTTATCTTAACGCAGGATTTATTTGGGGTACCTACCTGGTCGAGATGAGGAATCAATTCGAAATCTGTATTATTCTTAACCTCTTCAAGTAACCTATGTTAGTATTAAATGTATTCACCGAATTTCGTTTAAGGTGACGAAGGACTGGTAGAAGAATTTTCCCACAATGATATGGGTAGAGCTGACGTGTCCATTGAATTTCACATAGCCTTGCTTTCCCAAGAGTTGTTCTCATCCAGACAGAAGTGAACTGCAGTTTCGAGCTCAGGAGTCGAATCGTGACAGTGCAGAATAGGAGCTTGGCACGTTAACCACTCGGCCACATTGCCACGAGTGCCCTTGGGTCACAGGCCAAATGTGCATTTCAAAGAAGGCCAGGCCTTTTGTCATATCATATTATTTGGTGGGATTGTCGATGAAGCAAACGTCTCATATTACTGATTTAATGGTAGTCTCGAAATAATACTTAAATGCGAAAAATAAAGTAACGTAGTCGATTGTTATAGCAAATATACGTTTGCCTCATCGACAATCTCACCAAAGAATATGATATGACAAAAGACCTGGCTTGCCTTGAAATGCACATTTGCTCTGGGACCCAAGGGCACTCGTGTCAATGTGGCCGAGTGGTTGGCTTGTCAAGCTCCCATTC